GAAGCTATTGAAAATATTATTATTTACCTTGGTGTCGGTTCAATACGCTGACCTGTAATCGTATGTACATCACTCATACAGATTGACGCTAAACGAACCTTAATAACCAACAACGAATAAACAACAATACTCTTTTGTTAAATTACTTTGACAAGAATTTCTCCTGCAGTAAGGTCTGGTATAAATCCAGTTTGTGCAGCAAACATTGTTTGAGATCCAATACCATTAAATACACTACGGACACCTGAGACTGAATGTGCTTTTTCGGCATGTGGCATTGCACTTGATCTTTGAGCTGAACAAAGTGTTCGACAAATCTAGGAAGAATTTATGAGTATCGATTTACTAGATTATTTATTTAGCAGGTGTTCCACAGTGAATAAATGAAAACATAAAAGTTGATGTTTCTCTGTATTGAAGTATTGCATATTCTGACATTATATCATATCGAAAGATTGAACACTTTTTTTTATAATGAGGATTATCAAATTTGATGTCACCATACTAAGCAATGAAACATCTTTTAAACGAGTCTCATTAACTAATAAATCAAAGAATTATTTAATTTTTACTTACATGAGATTTTTTTTGTTTGAATGATCTGATAAGAATCCTACTTACAATCATAGTTTGATCAAATTTCAAAAAAAACAAAAACAAGCTAATGGAATCAATTTAATGCCACTAAGATAAGTAGTAAAATACGATTTAGTCACTAGAAACGTATTAAATGATTAATCGATAGAGGTCATAGTATGAACAGTTTTGTTTTTTTAATGGTTTATGTTTAGAACGAATAGAAATCTGAGATACATCGATCGATCCTTCAATCTTTATCGGCATTGGTAATGCTGATATAAATATGGATAAGAGTACATTTCTTAAAGTGTATTTTCCCAATGGTTCTTTTCATGGTATTCGTTATACATCATCGACAACTGTTGCTGTATGAATACATGACAAAAAAAATCCTTATTTTCATTGAATTTGTTTTTGTTGTCTTTTTTAGGAACTCATTCGAATAGTATTGAAAGGTCGTCTTTCATCTTGTGAACTGTTTTATCGTTTATCATTTGCACTTCGTGTAACACATGTTGGTAAAGAACAAGAAATAGCAAATCTACGAATAACATCTTCGTCAGATAAAACGAATGTAACAGATAAATGGCTTCATCCAAATATGACCATGGATAAAGTACAGCGACTATATGGACCTATTGAAGATTTAAAGTAGAAAATAAATTAAATTTTTAGTTTTTATTCAAACAATGTTTAGATTTGAACTTCGTCTGCGATATTTTCCAGAATCAATTGATGCTCTATCACATGACAAACCAACATTTGGATATTTTTATGAACAAGTATATCTTTCATTATGTTTGAATATACAATTTTAATATTATTTCATATAGCTTCGTATTGATTATATGCGTTTAAAATCTGAACATGTACCAGTGAATGATGCTATTGAATTAGGTTCACTTGAAATTCGTAAACTTTTCAAAGATCTTAATCCAACAGCATTAGATAAAAAAGTAAACGTTGATTATTTGGAAAAAGAACTTGGTTTAAAAAGATTTTTTCCACAATCTGTTATTGATTCTCATAAAGTTTGTTATAAAAGTTTTTTTTTAAGAAATTATTTGAATTAATTCTATTTTTAAGCCAAAACTTCTCCGAAAATCTATTAAAGCATGTTTGAAAAAATATGAAGGTTTAGCAGAAGAAGAATGTGTTAAACGTTTTTGTTCTTTACTCAAAGATGCTTGGAATTGGCAACAAGAAATATATACATGTAATCTTGGTGTAAGTAGATTTGTTTGAATTAACCTCAGGACAGGAGATATTAGAAAGTTTACAACTAGCTCAATGAATTAATTTCATTGAGAAGTGTTCTCGCTGTAAGTTTGAAGTCGTAAGTCGATTTTCTATGTGATATGAGTGAAACACAGCTTCTTGTTGAAAAATTTAGTAAAATTTTGATATCAAAAGAACGAAGATCCGGAAAACCAAAGTATTGTAGACTTCTCTATTATTCTTGGATACTCATCAAATGAAGATCATTCCAGTCGAAGAACGATTCGACATTAGCAGTAGTTCTACCGTTCGATGTTCATGTATATCGTCAGCGGGTGAGTTTTGTCAATCCTCCTGACCTCAGGATATGCCTACAAATATTTTCATATGCTTTTTCTACGTTGAATTATTGATTTTGAGCTTGAATAATATCATTAATTTGTTTTTACAGTAAATTGTTTAAATAAATTATATAAATATTTTTGTTTAGGCTGAATGGGCGGTTCCAATTAGTCTTGTTCTCGGTCCGTCAGATGGTATCAGTTATCGAACTCAAAATTCCACTAACGTAAAATTCGATATCATTTTCTTGTTATTTTATTATTTTAATTACATATATTTCTATATATATAGTTAACTAAAATGGCTTCTTTTGAAAATGTTCTTTCAATAGCAACAACAAAAACAAATTCAGATGAACGTGGTTTACTTAAATTAACTATTGCTGGATCATCAGAGGTTTTAATCTTTTTATTTTTTATCTAACTTAAAATTATACGAAAAAAAAAATTTATTTAGACTTTAACAGTTAGGTTTTCATCTCTTTCTGATGCCAATGATGTAGCTATTCTTATTGATGGTTATTGTATGCTTGTTAATCGAAGTACACATTCACTTTGGCGATCAATGATTGACGATCAATATTCATCTGCATCATCGCCACCTCCTTTTCTTGCTCCTCATCCATCAGATACCACATCATCACAAAGTACTATCTTTATTATGAATTATGTAATAATAATTCTTATTGAGTTTTAGTTGATGATGATAATGATGATGATGATTCAAATGGAGATTATGCTGACGTCTTAGCATCAGATTATCAAATCGATCGCAAACAAATACATATGATTGAATCACTTGGTAATGGTCAATTCGGTGAAGTTTATCGTGGAATACTTAAAGTAAAATAAATTAAATCAATTTAATTTAATTAATATTTTATATTCTTATATTAATTTTAGACTGATCAACAATTAGAAATAAATATTGCCATAAAAACATGTAAAATGCAAGATGCAGCAACGACAGAAGCATTTTTAGAAGAAGCTTGTAAGTCATGCTTTTCATATGAAATTAATTCAATATTTTGTTTTTGTGAAACATGATCTGAAAGAAGTGCTGAAGCATATAGAGTAGAAATTTATACCTCGCACATATAATGACAGATGAGACCGACAGATCATGATAGATGTATTAGAAGTGACACATCGTAGATGTGGCAAACACTCTTAGCGTGGCAGTGGACGACAGATGCTATTGATATATGATCATAGGCCATATCAAATGTCTTAGCAAGACTATCTTCTAACGTTAAAACCTATAGCGCACGTTATTGGTAAACAATGGCAGATCATATATCAATAACGTCTCGTTAACTACTCATTGCATTTTTGCAAGATTACGTAAAACGACAGTGAAAAAGTTTGTCGCAAAATAGATACAATAAAACAATGTTCTTGTGATTAGTAACAACAGCTTTAGTGTGTTTCACATTTTATTTCTGTAAGGATTGTGCTAATAGTTTCTATTTTTAAGATGTGATGCAAAAATTTGATCATCCGCATATTATAAAACTCATTGGTGTTTGTACTGAACAACCTGTTTTACTTATTATGGAACTAGCAAGATTAGGCGAAGTTTGAATATTGTTATTTATTTTTTTTTTAATTTAATTAAAGTACTTTTGATTGTTTAGCTTAGAGCTTATTTAGTTGCGAATCGTTCTGATTTTGATGTGATAACATTAGTGCTATATTGTGAACAATTAGCATCCGCACTTGCATATCTTGAATCAAAAAAATTTGTTCATCGGTAACAAAAATTCAGATAAAACATAAACATAATCTGTCTTTTTTTCGTTTCAAAAGTGATATTGCTGCCAGAAATGTTCTTGTATCGAACCATGAATCGGTTAAATTGGCTGATTTTGGTCTTTCAAGACAATTAAAAGTTGATAATTCATATTATAAAGGTAATAAAATTAAATAAAAAAAAAAGTCTTTTTTATAAGAAGATCTATTTTCTTTTAGCATCCAAAGGTAAATTACCAATAAAATGGATGGCACCTGAGTCGATAAATTTTCGTCGTTTTACTCATTTATCTGATGTATGGATGTTTGCTGTTTGTATGTGGGAAATTTTAACAATGGGTAAAAAACCATTTCAAGGTGTTGCTAATACAGACGTTATCGATCAAATTGAAAATGGTATTCGATTACCATTACCCGGTGCTTATTGTCCAAAACGTTTATTTGATTTATTACAAGAATGTTGGTCATATGAACCAACAAATCGGCCATCATTTCTTCATATTGAATCGCGTTTAAAGTAAAACCCGTTATCTAAAATTAATTATAAAAAAAATAGTAAAATATTTGTTTTTTTTTTATTTTTAAGATCGATATTAAATGAAGAACGATTAAATAGTAATTCACATATCCATTTTAAAGATCGAATATATTCTAATGAACAAATGGCATTAAAATCTAAATCTAATACATCATTAACAGTGTCTGCGTCACTCTTATTATCATTAACAGATGATAATGTACCACCTAAACCAGCGTTGCCCAATAAAAATGAATTTACAGGCAGTCGATTACCAAGTTAGTTTAAATTCAAAATTTAGCATATATATATATATGTATATGTTAGCGAATTCTATGAGTAGGCATGTGCTGAGCGCAAGCAAAATGCGAATATTCTTACTGTAGTTTTATGATACCTTGTACATGAAATGTCATGATCCATTTTAGGGACACTAGACAAACTGATTTTTGATTTTAAGCTTACTATAGAAGCCAGTCTTAACAAGAATAGTTTTTTGTAAAATTTTCAGATCTTTTGATTTGCATCTAGCTTAAAATAAGAACGTCGAGTCTCATGACTTATAAGAGCAATGTAAGAGACACGTTGTTACCATAGCTGTATCTTAGGATAAGAGCAACGACAATATCTAAAACATTCATAAATAGTTATTCGCTTTAAGAACTGTCTCTATGCGAAGTTTTGAGTCAAAATTCGAACATCAACTTTTTCTAGTGCTTCTAAAGGGGACCACAGCATTCATTTAAAAATATTGTAAAAATGCAGTATTTCAATAGCAATAAACTAAGAGCACGAACTCTTTTCATAGTATTTACAGTTTGTTTGAATCTATATCATGCGCATAGCTTCGACTAGAGCCGTTCGAATTCAA